TCGTCTGCTGGGTAGTTTGACTGAGAGGGCTTGGTCAGCTTAAGAGATTCCAATCTACTGTCGGATCTTCCGCAGTATAATCAGCAGTAAAGTAACCAAAAGTAATTACAACTGTGACCTAACTAAGGAGCTAGGGGGCTCATTCCCGAGTGACTCTTCCTTTGCTTTAGAAAACTGAATCTTTTTCTGCTTTCTTACTGCTTTTAGTTAAAACCACAATCAATCGACTTAGTTGGCTAGATAATAAATATTCACAGAGTAGGAAGTAGATCTAGACACGGGTTGATAATTAGAACTTGCCACTTTATTGCATTTCCGGACTGCGATTACACTTGGCCGTAGTTTGGTGTTGTGTTTTAGCGTACCAAGTCTTTGGCACCGTTACCGGGGACCCTCTAGGTTATTGGAGAAATGTGAAAGTTTGTTACTCTAGCTTTTTCTTTACTGAATTTTCTCTCCTCCACCTTTGTGCCTTCACGGGTTGCTTTTACTGATTGTGTGCAGGTAGTGCATGACCCGTAGCTAGTTGGGAGATTTACTACCATTAGACCAGCAGCTTGAACAGACATGTAGGAACTTCAACCGGGCTCTAAAGGCGCGACTGGCTTCGGAGGAGGCGCTAGCACAGCTGCAAATCGTCGACGAAGAAGAGATGGGTGACCCACAGAACCATGATGTGGTCCTTCCCGAGGAGCAAACCATGGGGTACTACTGGACCACCAGAGTCGCGGACATGAGGTCGCCCATTCAGCACCCTCATGTACCAGCCAAGAACTTTGAGGTGAGCACCTCGGTCATCACTATGTTACACGGCTCGGTAGTATTCCGTGGCAAAGACGGGGAGTGCCTCCGAGCACACCTGAGGCGATTGCACGAGCTCATCGATGGAATCAAGATCAATGGGGTCCCAGCCGATGCCATGCAGCTGAGGTACTTCCGATTTACTCTGGAGGGGCAGGCTAAGAAGTGGCTAGACACTCGACCTCCAGGCTCGATCACCACGTTCGCCAACCTGGCGGACAAGTTCCTCACTCGCTACCATCCCCCGTCTAAGACGGCGGACCTGCAGAAGCAAATTACCCACTTTGCTCAGGATGAAGATGAGACCATCCGGGATGCTTGGGAGAGATACACCAGTCTCTTCCTCAAGTTTCCCAACCATGGTTTCACTGAAGCCTTCAAGGTGGGCACCTTCTACCATGCCCTCTTCCCGGAGGACAAGCAGCTGATTGACTCAGTCTGTGGCGGGAATATGCTCACCAAAACACCGCCACAGCTGAATCAACTTTTTGAAGAGATGGCAGAGCAAGGCTATGATTGGGGAACTGCGAGGAGATCGAGACGAGCACCAGGGCGGGGTGTGCATGCTGTAGCCACCCAGTCATCTTATTTGGTGCAGGTGGTATCTAAACTGGTTTCAGCCATCGATCGTTCGGGAATGATCTCAGGGGCAGGACATCAGCAGGCGATGGATTGTCAGTGGTGCGAGAGCACCCATCATACTGTGAAGGACTGCCAGGCCATGCGTGAGTCCAGTACACCCCAGGAGCATGTGAACTTCATTAACAATGCCAGGCGCAACGATCCTTATAGTAATACCTACAATGAGGGATGGTGCCAACATCCAAATTTCTCCTGGAGTGGCAACAACAATCCAAAGCCACCTGGCTTCCAGGCTCCTGCAACTAGTTTCCCAAACCAGAGGCAGTCATACCAGCCTCGGCCGGGCCAGATGCAGCAACAACAACCACTCTATCATCCCAGACAGGGGCAGGCTTTTCAACAGCCCCCACAGCAGCAGTATCAGCAACCTGGTGCACCTCCATCAGTCCCAGCACCGGGCGATCCCGTGTCAGAACCGAGGGATCTAGTGACTACCTTGGCGAGCACTGGTACCCAAAATTTCAACAAATTGGAGCAATTCATGGAAGTAACTGCAGGTAAATTCATGGAGATTGAAGCTGGCCAGAGAAACCAGCAGGCACTCCTGCATGATATGGACACCAAGATCGGGCACCTGGCAGATGCCCTAGCTTCCAAACCGGTTGGCACACTTTCTACCCAACCCCTACCGAATCCCAGAAATCATAAGGAGGGGTTGCACGCCATTACGCTGCGAAGTGGGACTGTGACTGTGGATGCACCGCAGAAGAGTGCCAAGAAGGTGACCCAGATCACCCCAGAGCCGGAAGAAGACCTGGTGATGGAAAAAGAGCCAGAGGATCAAGCTCCAAAGCCACAATCGGTAGTGGCTGAATACAAGCCTAAGCTCCCTTTTCCCACCAGGATTTACAAAGACAGACTGGAGGCAAAGTTCGGAAACTTCTCGTCCATGCTTAGGAAGTTGAATGTTCAAGTGCCCTTCATGGAGGCACTATCTCTGATGCCTAAGTATGCGAAGTTCCTGAAGGAGCTTCTCTCGAAGAAGCGGAGGCTGAGAGAGCTAGCCATTGTGGAGATCAGCGAGGAGTGCTCGGCCGTTTTGCAGAACAAGCTTCCGCAGAAGCAGAAGGACCCATGTAGTTTTATTATCCCGTGCTCTATAGGTAAATTGCATGTAGAGAGGTCCTTGGAGGATCTAGGTGCTAGTATTAATGTGATGCCATATAAATTGTTCAAGAAACTAGGCCTAGGTGAACCCAGTGCAACTAGGATGAGTATTCAACTAGCTGACCGATCTATAGTTCATCACAGGGGCATAGTGGAAGACCTTTAGGTTAAGGTTGGCAGATTCTTTTATCCTATGGATTTTGTTGTCTTGGACATCAATGAAGACACAGAAGTGCCCCTTATACTAGGAAGGCCTTTCCTGGCCACCGCCTAGGCTCTCCTAGATGTACATGATGGGACCTTAGTCTTGAGGGATGGCGAGGAGCGAATAACATTTTCCATTGCTAATACTCTCTCTGCTTCATTGCCCTTGCATGTCGTTTCTAACCAGGAGCACGAGTCTGTGTGCATCCTTCTGTGCTTCCCATTTTGCAGGATCCCCCTCCCATACCTTCGCCGCGAACACCTTGGCCATCCGAGTATTCACTCGCTTGCATCCTGTCGGATGGCCAGGTTGAGTTGACGAGTGCTATTGGTCACATCCACCGTGTGCATGGCCACCATCTGAAGCTATACCTCAAGAGCGATGTGGATCCGCTCTTGGAGGCACCTGTTCCTTCACCTCTCTGAGTATCCACCCTACTGGCGTCCAGCTAAAAGACGGTAAAGAAGCGCTTGTGGGGAGGCAACCCCACCAAGGTTTGTTTTTCCTTCGTTTGTTTTCGGTTTGTCCACTTGGAACTATGGTTTCTATCACCCAGTGTGTTTTGATGACTCTAGACCTTCTAACTGGTCCCATTTCCAGTCCCCCGACAGTCCGTATTCCAGGTAACATCGTTCCCCCATATCTTTCCCTTGCTCCATTGAGGGCAATGTAGTGCTTAAGTGTGTGTGTGTGGGGGGGGGGGTGTTTATCTATTTTTGACTGCTAGATGAGTTTGTGTGCTTGGAGCCTAGTCCACTGTCCAATTTGATGAATTGAGGGCTCCAAGTACTGTTCCCTGCAAAATCCTGCTCAGTATGCTTTGAATTGAAAGTCTTTATCGTGATATGCAACCTAGGGAGGTAGTTGTAGCACTATGGAGGAAGTGAAGAACACCCCCTAAGAGTGAGAAAGTGCAAAGAACACCCCCTAAGAGTGGTTTCAGAGATGGGTTTCATCAAATCAAGCTTGGAAATCATCCTTGGAGTGAAGATCATCATCCCAGAGCAGATTCTTACCATCTTGATGAGTATGACTGCTTTGTTTGCTGTTTTCTTCTCTCTCTCTGGAGTAGAACCCTCTCTCACTTGGGTATGAAGAACCCTAGTTCTATGTGTTAGGGATCATTGTTGTAACGAACTTTGGATTGTGATATTGCTTGATTATAATCGATTGAAGTGTTTTGATTGAGTCAATTGAAGTCTGATCATCTTATATTGATTTCTGCTGCAACCTGAGATAGATAGAATATGATTAGGTTGTTAGAGCTTCTTCAATCGGTAGTAGTGAATCGATTATACGAGAGTTAGTCGATTTACTGCTTTGTACTGGAATCTAATTCCAGTAGTGGAGTTCTGTGTTCATTGCCTCAGCGTTCTATCCCGGTAAAGACTAGTCGTCTGCCGGGTAGTTTAACTGAGAGGGCTTGGTCAGATTATGAGATTCCAAGCTACTGTCGGATCTTCGGCAGTATAATCAGCAGTAAAGCAACCAAAAGTAATTACAACTGTGACCTAACTAAGGAGTTAGGGGGACTCATTCCTGAGTGACTCTTCCTTTGCTTTAGAAAACCAAATCTTTTCCTGCTTTCTTACTGCTTTTAGTTAAAACCACAATCAATCGACTTAGTTTGCTAGATAATAGATATTCACGGAGTAGGCAGTAGATCTAGACTCCGGGTTGATAATTAGAACTTGCCACTTTAATGCATTTCCGGACTGCGATTACACTTGGTCGCAGTTTGGTGTTGTGTTTTAGCGTACTAGAGGCCCAACAGCAAGAGCAAGAATCGAAGGCGGAAACCTGTGCCCAAAAATTATGCATTGCAAATAGTATAACCAATAAGTTTAAAATACTTATCCTTTCTGTGGCCATTTTTTTGTTACAATGATTGCAACAAGGACGATCATCACTCTCTTCTTCATTCTCATTTCACGCTAGTTGTAGCTTCAACTATGGAGTGTCTGTCAGTGGATATCACATTGTGTCCAAACTGAAGGCAAAAACCCCATTAGCTCAAAACCTACAAAATAGTGACAACTAATATCTTCATAAAATTGAATATCACATCCTTGTAATTTTACTTGCAAATTTTGTAATGAATTGACAAGTATATAAATTAGAAAATGAAAATGTGCAAAATAAAGAAATTAGAAAAAGAAGACTAGTCAAAGTAACGACGTGGAGAAAAATGCTTGTGGCAAAACCAAAAACAAATAAAGTAACAAACCCCTAAGCTCTAAATCTACAAACTCATAAATTTTTATACTACATCAAACTCGCAACTAATAAGTAATATCACACCATTGTAATTCTACTAGCAACTTGCAATTCTAGCTCTTGTGGGCTTTCTATAAGACAACACCTGGCTCCACTATAGAAACAAGTGATTATATTTTCTCAATGGAAAAATGTCATTAGCATCATGTAATCAACACAATAATATGTAGTCTATTCTCTGGTTAGTACAATAGCCACCCTCCTCTAGCTTCATGTAATCTGTTTTCGCAATAGTACCCTTCACCACTCCACATTTTAGTTCATCAGTCATCAACAAATACAACAAAAAAAAAACTTTAGGTAAGAAAACAATGGTTATGGTAAGCCAATATAAAAAAAATATCCAAAAAGGAAGGAAATCAATATTTATATATATGGAGGGATGTGCCTGAAAATGATGCATGCAAGCAAGCATCTTTTCCATCTGCCCTTCTCTACTTCCTTGCCTTCAGATGGAGGTTGTTCACCCCCACTTCCAACTTCTCCACAGTAGCAACACCTTCATTTTTCATGTCGACATTGATAGAGACTGTGCAGTTGATCCATGGATGTTGGAGGCATTGTTGAGCGATTGGCCGCTTTTCTGGTGCAAAATCAAGAAGAGGACACAAAAAATCTGAAAATTCCCGAGCATCATCCTCAGAGAATTTATACCTATCAACCAATAATCGATTCATGGGCCAGTACTTCAGCCTCCTGATCCTCTTTAGGTCACCATGCCTGTCAAATAGATCCTTAGATCTTGCACCTCCTGTTGCGATCTGCCCATGATAATTAGAAATTACAAGAATTAAACTTAGTCACGAGCGATTGGCAATAGTTATTAGAAATCAATTAATGAATATGTGTGTGACACCTTTCGAGGCATCTTTCCAAGAAGTTCCATCATTAGAGCAAGGTGATCCTGTAAATGGAATACAATCATTAGAGTCCTACATTCGTTTGGGGAAGAATCAAGAAAAGAGAACTTCAACATAAACATGCATAATACAAATGCAAACTTTTGGATTAGACAGAGCCACCAAATTTATTCAGACAGGTCTCATCACAAATCTAAACCATAATGCTCTACAATTTTAAATATATACGTTACATATGGATTTTAAATATATGGTGGCACTAATGTGATTACATCTTCAAATGATCATAATTTCAGAAAATAAACACCCACATTTTTAATGAGCTTTGTGCAATATTCAAAAAAAATTCCTTGTTTGGGAGAGATTGAGATGAAGACCCATAACATGTTGAATAATATTTAAAACGACTACCAACTATGCCATACATACTTCACATACATTATACCAATTTTATATCACCATTAACATAACAAATACACATGTTAATATCCATATGGACTAAAGCATAACAAAGATCATAGTATTAAAATTTATCAAAGTTATTTGGAAGAAATGATAATAAACTCTAATTAAGCTGCAATATTCAATTATCAACGACACCATCCTACCTCATCCTCACAAAATGTCTGACTGCCATTTGGAGCAAATAGCATGTCACCAGTAGCAAGCTCAAAAGCAGTGCAAGCAAATGACCACATATCAACAGAGAATGAATAGCCAGATCGTAGAATGACTTCAGGAGCTCTATACTGTCGTGTTTGGATTTCTTCTGCAAATGGCTTGGCAGCCCAACATGCATTTCCAAAATCTACAACCTTGCACCTCACATTAACCCCATCCAAGTTTCTCTCTGGCTTTTCTGTGGCACCTCCCATTGTAGTTCTTCTCCCTGATATCTTGGCAACTGCCTTTTTGGCCCTTCTTTTCAACTTTTTCTCAATTATATTCATCGTAGATCCACCATTAAGGTTAATCTCAGGTCTGCCAAGAATTGGGGAAGCCCCTGAGTTAACTGGATCTTTAGCCGGATCAATGGTGGAGAAAAGGAGAATATTTTCAGGTTTAAGGTCTGTGTGGAGTAATCCAAGTTCTCTATGCAAGTAATCCAAACCTATTAGAATACATTTGCAAATTTCTCTAACTTTATTCAAGTGAAGACCTTTGTAATGGTTATGTCTGATCAGCCTGAGTAAGCTATCACCAAGAAACTCAAGAACCATGCACTGATGTTGCCCATTTGGCCCTAAATGCTTGAAGTGGTCAATCAACCTAACAACACACTTTGTATTGGAGGGATCACCGTCGGCTATAGCTGAAAGAACTTCAATCTCGTGTAGGGCCGCTTGTGAAAATTGTGTAGCACTTTTTTGGATCTTTAGAGCAACATAGTTCTGAGGCAAACCAAACAAGAAACCAAAATCAGTATCACACACTTGATTATGACCCAGAAGATCAATTTGGTTGTCTAACAAATAGTTGGTTGATCCACATATGGGATGCAAACTTAAATTGAGGCAACATAATGGTCGGGGGGGGGGGGGGGGGGGGGGGGGGGGGGGGGGGGGGGTTCTACGAAATAGAATCACACAAAAATGTGGAAAGAAAGCATAGAGACACACTTCAATGGTAATTAAACAAATACAATTTAGGAAAATTCCAAAATCTAATATAATAACAATACATTACTCACTTCGATGACCATATTAAAGCGGTGGGGCACAACAAAATAAGTAAAAAAGAACAAAATAAGCAATCGAAATGCTTGTTTAGATGATAGTAAAAAAATAAAAATCGGACACCAACAAACAAATGAATCAAGAGAGAGAGATCAACATACGGAAGATTGAGTGTCGTAAGCAAGCCAGACGGTGGAAAATTGGCCCCATCCGAGCTTCCGTTGGGCGATGTAACGACCGGCATTGAAGGGATCACCAATTCGGACAGCGTGATAACCACCTTTCCTATATGAATCGATTCCCTCCTCGTCCTCATCAGATGCGGAAGACGATGTGCAAGACATGTTGTTGATTCTCTTTCTTTTCACAATGGCTGGCTAATAACCTTCGTCAGGAGCTTTTCGTCGTTGATCAATCTTTCTCTCTCTCTTCCACACACCAAACAAGAAATTTGATGGGGGAAGAAAGGGGGAAGGGATTGGATTCTTGATCTTGGTGATTTGGGATTAAGGTTTTGATAGTCAAATTTTGAAAAATTAATCTATTGGATTAATTGAATATTAAAAAGAATATGATGTGTGTAAAGAGAATGAAAAAGAAAAACAAGGAAAGGTCTTTCAAATGGTGGTTGTAATTGTCGGCTCTAGTTTATCATCAGGAGGGAAGGGGGCTAGTTGGCTGACTCTCTGTCCAAAATTATGAGTGGCGCTAGTTACAAAGTCTTTTCCGTGTTTTTCTCATTTTCATCCTTTTTCCCATTTGGAGATCACTTAGCTCTTTTTCTTTTTTGGGATTTGGATTTTTGGTGCTGTTGTTGGTTCGACGTTGCATACGAGAGAGACAAAGTAGTGGCAAGGAAGCGCAACAGGCACTAGAGGTATGGACAAGAAAAAGGGGAGGACACGGGTGGATGGAGACACAAGAGTGCTAGTGGGAAAGGGATGGAACTTTTATTAATATTATTATATATTTTAAGGATGACAAATCTGTACCCAAAATTATTGATTTAACACTTCATGAATTTACTTATGAATAATTTTTTTCTTTGTAGAATGCTGAGCTACCTGATCTTAATAAGTATAACTAGCTTTAAGTCGTTCACCGAAACATTTAAATTACTTATTTTGGTTTAGATTTTTTTGACTCTTCGTTTGATGAATGGAGGGAGTAAATTCAAAGAGTGTAAAGATTAGGCAATGAGATGTAAATTTAAGGGGAGTGTAAGTTGAGGCGTAAAATATTATTTTAGAAAAAAGATAGAAAAGGTACAAAGTAAGATGTGAGCAACCTATCTGTAAAATCATATCGAACCTCAAACATATCATTGTTCGATTCATAATGAATAAAACAAATCGAACGAACACTGAATCGATATGTCAAAAAAGAACCAATGCCTAGTACCAACCCTATTTGTAACTTTTCGACAAAACATGAGACAACTACAAGTCTCAAGCCCACAATGACATAACCCTTTTTTCTTTCCCTTTCCTTTCCCAATTGATATCCAAATCACTTCCGGGTCCCTAGTCCTCATCGTCTCATCATATTTGACTCATCTCCTCAAAACCACCACGACTCATTGAATCTCCCCTCCACCCGATAGGTTCCCTCTCTTTCATTCATTCTAATCATCTAATGTTTGTCCTTCTCACTCTAAGACCTCTCCACTCTCTACCTATTTTCCGAGCTTCGCCACCGATAAATAAAGCAAAAGAAAAAAAAAACAAGGCGAGGAAGGAAGATCATGCGAAAATCGTGTGAATGAGAGAATGAATAAGTAAATCCTAATATTGATGGAGTTGATTCAGCAAGGTTGAGACTATTGGAAATGTATATGAATAGCTTTGAAAGCTATAGAGTCTCTAGTGGAAAAACTACCACATTGGTAGTTTTACTTGGTGAAATGTGTATAAAGATAGGAGCCTCCCTCCCAAGGGCATGCCCCTTGGGGTGACCCACTTTTGTGGGAGAGGGAGGACCTAACGGACCACCACACACACGCGCGCGCGCGCCGTCTGTCCGTCCGACCGACCGGTCGGTCGGTTGGTTCACTTGAGACTATATATATATTTTTGGAGAAATTCCGAACGAAATTAATTATCTAATAATTAATTATTAATCTGTTATTCTGAGGTATATTCCTAGGGATAATCGACTAAAACGGAATATTCGAAGGATAATCCCTCCGGGTTTATCTTAACCGACGGTTTTAATTAAGGAAGTAATTATCTTCCTTAATTAATCCGACTTATTCCCCAAGCAAGAGGGTATATTCCTAGGGGTTCGGCTCCTATAAATAGCCGCCTCCCCAGCCCCTCTAAACACAAAAAAAAAAACAACGAGCAGAAACACAATAGAGAGAGTGTTTAGAGAGCTTCGGTTTTCGCACAAAACCGCGAGTATTGAGAGGAGCTGTTTTATCCTGGAGACGACCGGTTGATAGTCTGCCGTGCGCATCGAAGGCAGTGCCGCGAACGTCTTAAAGAGAGCGACCTAGTCCGCGACTCAGCTCCAGATTCGGTAACCTCGTTCCTTTTGTTGTTCCGTTCCTAACAATTTTAAGACGTTCGGCTGCTGCTATGTCGACTGAACAGAACAACATGGCCGGATCTGGTGCTGTCGATATCAATCGACCCTTTCACTTCGTTGGGGTCAACTTCCGTCGCTGGAGGCAAAAGATGGAGTTCTACCTAACAACCAAAAAGCTGGCCCACTGCCTCACCAGCATGCCCGTCGAGCTGCCGGAAGAAGCGACCGATGAGGAGAGGGCTGCTTCTGCCAGGGAAAGGGAGCATGACTTCCTGTGCAAGAACTACATCCTCAACGGCCTGGCAGACGATCTGTACGACTACTATGCGGACAGTAAGAACACCGCTATGATGATCTGGGATGCGCTCCAAAAGAAGTACGACACGGAGGAGGCTGGAGCTAAGAAGTATGCTGTCAGCCGCTACCTGCGCTACCAAATGGTGGATGACAAGTCCGTCGAAGTTCAGTCCCACGAACTTCAGAAAATAGCTCATGAGATCGTCTCTGAAGGTATGCCTCTGGACGATCAATTTCAAGTTGCTTGCATTATTGATAAGCTGCCCCCTTCGTGGAAAGATTTTAAGAATATGCTTAGGCACAAAACCAAAGAATTTTCACTGGAAAGTTTGATTACTCGCCTAAGGATTGAGGAAGAGTCCCGCAAGCAGGATATGAAAGAAGAGGTGATGGTCGTCACTGTTAAACGACCCACCCCTAGAGCTCTTAAACCTAACCAGAAAGGGTTTAAGAGTAAGAACCAGCAGGTCCGCCCCCACCAGAATGGTGCCTCTCGAGGTAACCAAAGGGTCATGGCCCTAACCGCTAAGAATGACCCACCGTTTATCTGCTATAACTGTGGAAAACCGGGTCATATGGCAAAGAAGTGTCGGAACAAGCAAAACCCTGCCGCTGCTGCCAGGGTTAACTTGACAGAAGAGGATTTGATAGCCATGATCACAGAAATGATCGCTGAAGTTAACCTCACCGGTGACTCAGAAGGATGGTGGCTGGATACAGGTGCATCGAAGCATGTATGCAACAATCGTGCTATGTTTAAAACATACACAGAAGCACCTGCTGACAAGAAAGTGTTGTTGGGGACTGCTCACACCACTATGGTTGCTGGTTCTGGTGAAGTGGAGCTGAACTTCACCTCTGGGAAGAAGATGGTGCTCAAGGATGTGTTGCACACTCCAGAGATAAGGAAGAATCTTGTTTCGGGATATCTTCTTAATAAGGCTGGGTTTAATCAAACTATTGGGGCAGACTTGTATACCCTTACTAAGAATGGGAGTTTTGTGGGAAAGGGATATGCATGTAATGGGATGTTCAAGTTGAATGTCGAAATTAATAAGATGAATTCTTCAGTTTACATGGTGTGTGATTTGAATGTCTGGCATGCGCGTCTTTGTCATGTGAACACACGTATTGTGAAGAATTTAAGCAAGCTAGGACATATCCCTAAACTCTCAACGAATGAATTTGATAAATGTGATTTCTGTAGCCAAGCTAAAATAACGAAAACGCCCCATAAATCTGTGACTAGAGAATCAGAACCCTTAGATCTTATTCATTCTGATATTTGTGAACTAGATGGGACGTTAACTAGGTCTGGCAAGAGATACTTTATCACTTTCATAGATGATTGCTCTGATTATTGCTTTGTTTATTTGATGAAAAACAAAAGTGAAGCCCTTGATATGTTCAAGGTATTTGTGGTTGAATTTGAAAATCAGTGCAATCGAAAGATAAAAAGACTTAGGAGTGATAGAGGATCAGAGTATGACTCTAATCCCTTCAAGGAATTCTATAGCTCACATGGTATCATTCATGAAACCACGGCTCCATATTCACCAGAAATGAATGGTAAAGCTGAGCGGAAAAATAGGACGTTTACAGAATTAGTTGTGGCTATTATGCTCAATTCTGGAGCTGCTTCTTCTTGGTGGGGTGATATTTTGTTGACAGTTTGCTATGTGCTAAACCGTCTTCCAAAAACAAATAGAAAAGAATCACCCTATGAGATCTTGAAGAATAAGCCACCTAATCTGTCCTATTTAAGAACGTGGGGCTGTTTGGCCTACGTAAGAATTCCGGATCCTAAGAGGATTAAATTGGCTAGTCGAGCATATGAATGTGTCTTCGTTGGCTATGCAGCCAATAGTAAGGCATATAGATTCTATTCTGGACCAAGTCAAGGACAAGGTCGTGGTGCTGGAAATCGCCAAAGACCGGTGTGTACTCACTGCGGTGGTGTTGGTCATACTGTGGATCGGTGCTTCAAGAAGCATGGATATCCGCCGGGCTACAAGGGTAAAGGCAAGGTTAATGTTGTTGTTGCTGAGAACTCTCAAGATGCTACTCCTTAGCCTATGATTGGTGACGGATCTTCCACAAAAGCTGGTTCTGTGGTGCTCACTTCTGAGCAATATCACTTGCTCCTGGCTCAAGCCTTTGTCTCGGCGCCTTCACCTAGCTCAGTCTCCTGTCTTGTGGCTTCCAATCCAACAGTTGCTTCTACATCAACCACACACCCTGGAGCAGCATAGCATAACTGGAATCAGCCGAGTAAGCTTGGTGCTCATGCTGCTGCAGGTAAGTACATTCTCACTTCTGCTAGTCTAGGATCAGTAGATAATTCAACTAGGACCTGGATTGTAGATAGTGGTGCGACTGATCACGTGACTTGTTCGCTAGACCTGTTCGTAAATTTAGAACAATAACTGGTATGTATGTTACTCTACCTGATGGTTCCCGCATAGCTGTTACTCACAAGGGTACAGTGTTGTTGTCTGATTCGTTGACTGTCCATGATGTGTTAATGATCCCGTCGTTCACTTTCAATCTGTTGTCTGCAAGTAGATTAGCTAAATATAACAATTGTGAATTGATATTTTCCCATTCACATTGTTTGATTCAGGATATCCCGTCCCGGCAGAGGATTGGTATAGCTAAGCAGATTACGGGGTTGTACTACCTCAAAGTCGAATCTGGACGAGATCTATCCCTTCTATCTTTACCTGTTGCTTTGTCTGCTGTTTTCGATACTACTATTAGGCAGTTTGATCAATGGCATTATCGCCTTGGTCATAATTCAACTCCTGGACTAAGTGATATTAGGAATAAATGTCTAGACTTACACTGTTCAGTCTGTCCTATAGCTAAACAACGGCGTTTTCCATTTCAGTCCAACATGTCTTATGCTGCCAACTTGTTTGACTTAGTTCATATCGACATATGGGGTCCTTACAATGTTCCTACTATTGATGGACATCGCTATTTTCTCACTTTTGTTGATGACCATTCACGAAATACATGGTGTTACTTGTTGACTTCTAAGTCAGAGGCTAGGCCAATTCTTCAAACTTTCTGTTCTTATGTGCAAACTCAATTTAATAGAAAGGTTAAATCTATTAGGACTGATAATGGTGCTGAATTTAATATGCCTTCCTTTTATAATTCCTAGAGCAGATTCTTTCCATCTTGAAGAGTATGACTGCTTTGTTTTCTGTTTTTCCTCTCTCTCTTTCTATGGAGTAGAACCCTCTCTCACTTGGGTATGAAGAACCCTAGTTCCATGTGTTAGGGATATCGATTGCAATGACGTTTGGATTGTGATACTGCTTGATTATAATCGATTGAAGTGTTTTGATTAAGTCAATTGAAGTCTGATAATCTTTTATTAATTTATGCTGCAACTTGAGATAGATAGAATCTAATTAGGTTGTTAGAGCTTCTTCAATCGGTAGTAGTGAATCGATTATACGAGAGTTAGTCGATTCACTGCTTTGAACTGGAATCCAATTCCAGTAGTGGAGTTCTGTGTTAATTGCCTCAGCGTTCTATCTCGGTGAAGACTAGTCGTCTGCCAGGTAGTCTGTTTGAGAGCGCTTGGTCAGCTTAAGAGATTCTAAGCTACTGTTGGATCTTCCGCAGTTTAATCAGCAGTAAATCAACCAAACGTAATTACAACTTTGACCTAACTAAGGAGCTAGAGGGACTCATTCCCGAGTGACTCTTACTCTGCTTAAGAACTTCGAACCATTTCCTGCTTTCTTACTACTTTAGCTTAAAATCACATTCACTCAACTTAGTCTTGCTAGATAATAGATAATCACGGAATAGGCAGTAGACCTAGACCCCAGGTTGATAAATAGAACTTGTCACTATTTTGCATTTTCGAACTGCGATTACACATGGTCGCAATTTGGTGTTGTGTTTTAACTTGTCAATGGTTGATATATAGTTTGGAACATTTATTGATATTTATTATCCAAAATTAATTGTCTTTACACCCATTATCAACCTCTATATATGATTCTTTTTTTTTTCTTTCTTTTATTTACAAACTACAGATGATTCGTAACATTGGTTAATGATTCTCAACTCTTGTCATTAACAATACTAATAAAAAATCTTTCCTTTTGCCTACACCTCGGTAATGTTTGTTACCAAATCATTGAGTTATCAAGCCTAGTGACCTTCATTAAGTTTATTCCATAATAATTGTCAAAAAAAAAAAGTTTATTCCATAATTAAGGATCATTAGTCTCTAACTTCGACATTTGACTCTCATCCGAGTATTGATTTCTAGACCCCTGACATTAGCTATGAACCAAGATTCTCAACTCGTAGAGATGATTGTTAGTATTAGTTAATGAATCCCAAATTTCCGCATAGGCAATATTAACTATGAAATATTTGCCTTTTGTTGAGTATCTCAGCAATATTTTTTGGAGTACGTAATTTACAATTAAGAATTTACAATTCAATTCACAGCTAAGAATTTTCAACCATATTCACAGTCAAGACACCCGACTATTTTTTTATAGGGGAAACTCTTTATTTTGGAGTGAACACACAATTTAGAATCATAAATAGATCGTACGTAATCGAAGCCTATATTTTTGAAGATTTGGGAACACAGATCATTCATTAATGACCACAAAATTCTGTCACTTAAACATCGGGAAATGGAACTCATGTAAATATAAATTTACTAATAGATTACCATATTTGATTTAGTTGTTTGGTTTGGATATTAAATTTGTTACCAAAAAACTCATTAATGAATTGAGTGATAAGATCAAGTGAACAATACTATAGCCAAAATAAATATTAGTAAAAATGAGGGCATATTATTTTGTTATGAATTGAAAGGCATTTGCTTTTTTATTGGAAAATGACTTTGCATATTAATTATGAATATGTAATTTTTTTGTGTGTCGTTTAGGTATAAATGTAACACCCTTATCTAATTTAAAAATAGGATATTAATATGTATGTGTTGGGGGTGCAAATATGACATTAGCCCAACCGAACAATAAATATGGTCTGCTAAGCACATATGGACCCAAGCCCACGAAACACCACAAGGCCCAACTGAAGCCCAACAAAATATCACAAGACTTTACCTATAAATATGCTCCGATGTCTTTCAAGTAAGGGATCTCTTCTTCTCCTCTTCTCACTTTGGCATATCACTTCTCTCTCTACACTATCTCTCTCTATACATGTTCTCCATGTTTTTCTATCACTATACTAATGTTGATCGTTGGAGTGTAGATAAAAGGGGCCACCCCCGCCCTTTCACAGATCTGGAGCTCCCTTGTTTCTTGGCTGAAACAATTGGCGCGCCAGATAGGGGGAGATGTTTAAAGATTTTGAATGGGCATTTTAGATCCAGCTCTAACCTCCAATTATTTCTTCTTTGTTGGGCCGAAATGGGTTATGCCATGTTACTGGCTTGGACGCGAGCAAGCAAAGCCAAATGATATATGGGAACATTGAGGATCACATGCAGGCGCTTTGTTTGTAGCAATTGTGCAATTACTCTGCAAATCGAGCAACTTCATCACATGCTAGTCAGTACTCACAAAGAGTAAACGTTGGTCCAATGTTCTAGGGTCGTCGGGTTTTGCAGGCGCCTACTGTTGTTACAAAGAATCCGCATTCAATATCAAGAGAAGTGTTAGGCACCTACTCATAGAGCATCAACAAAAGTAACAACGCAATTTCACAGAGAATAGTTGAAGAAGGAAAAGTGATTTCCCTTCTCTCCTTCCTTTCATATATATCTCAGTTCATCAGTACAGGATAGGAATGCCAGCTTGGGCTACAATGCCAGCTTAGGCAGTAAAACAGAGTAAACAGTGAAAGTTGAACAAACGGTAAATAATGTTGTTATCGACCGTTGAAGAAGCACATGGTCTGCACGTGAGCCTATCCACCCTTTGCTGACTCTGATGACTTGGATCGAAAATGTCGATTTTGATCCTGTATAGCTGTTCCCCCCCCCCCCCCCCCCCCCACACACACACACACAAGCTGGAGGGCAAAGTTTGAGCACTCCAAGCTTGGACAGAAGAGAATCAAATGGTGCTAGAGACAGTGGTTTAGTAAGGATGTCAGCAAGCTGATGATGACTCGGAACATGGAGGATTTTGATCACTTGAGCAAGCAACTTTTCTCGAACCAAATGACAATCTAGTTCGATATGTTTTGTTCGTTCATGGAAGGTCTGATTCTCGGCAATATATATTGCAGACTAATTATCACAATACAGAGAGACAGGATGTGGATGGGGAACCTGGAAATCTTGGAGAAGATAAAGCAGCCACTGAATTTCGCAAGTAGTATGAGCAAGAGCTCGATACTCTGCCTCGCAGGAAGAATGAGAAACAGTGGATTGTTTCTTAGATTTCTAGGAAACCAGAGAATTCCCAAGAAAAATACTGTAACCCGTGATTGATCTGCGAGTATCTGGACAGGAACCCCAATCCGAATCACTGAAAGCTTTAAAACTGAGAGAGGAAGTAGATGGAAAGAATAAACCAGTACCAGGACTCCTTTTTATGTAACGAAGAATGCGGTTAACTGCCTTCTGATGAGTGACAGTAGGGCGACACATAAATTGGTTGACTTGCTGAGTCGAGAAGCTAATATCTGGCCGAGTAGTGGTTAAGTAAATCAACTTACCAACAAGGCTTCGATAAGCATGAGCATCAACCAGAGCCGTGCCATCTTCCATCTGCAAATGTACCTTATAGTCCATTGGAGTGGAAACTGGTTTGGCACCAAGTTGTCCTGCAGCATCCAAAATCTCCAAGGCATATTTACGTTGAGAAAGATGAATACCCTTAGGACTTCTGGCCACTTCAAGGCCAAGAAAATAATTCAGCTCACCAAGGTCTTTAATACTGAATGCTTGATGCAAATAAGTTTTGATGCGAGTAATCTCTGAAAGATCATTACCTCATATAATAAGGTCGTCAACATAAATGAGAATAGCTGTATAAGAAGCAGGTGTGACTCTGGTAAACAAGGAATGATCAGACTTGCTTTGGTGATAGCCAAGAGTGATTAAGCTGTCAGAGAGCTTTGAAAACCACTGCCGAGAAGCCTGCTTAAGCCCATATAAAGCTTTCTTAAGCTTGCAGACTGGATTAGGGATGTTTGGTGGACAAGAAACACCTGGAGGAAGCTTCATATAGACATCTTCGTCGAGTTCTCCATGAAGAAAAGCGTTGTTTAAATCAAGCTGATGGAGATGCCAGTTTCTAATGGAGGAAACAGCAAGAAATAAACGGATGGTTGTCATTTTGACAACGGGAGCAAAGGTATCCATGTAGTCAATACCTTCTCGTTGGGTATAACCCTTTGCAACCAAATGAGCCTTGAACCTCTCAATTTCACCAGTGGACAAATATTTGATCCTATACACCCATTTACAGCCAATAGCAACAGCCCCTTCTGGAAGTGAAACAATGTCCTAGGTTCCATTGCGTTCAAGTGCAGTGACCTCTTGCTGCATTGCTAGATTCCATTCATTAGATTGAGCTGCCTCATGATAAGAATCAGGCTTCTTGTGAGCAGAAATAGTGAGCACAAAATGTTTGTGAGAGGGATTAAGATGATCATAAGATATATAAGTGTGTATAGGATACCTCTTGCTGGAATTTGTAGGACACCATGTGGAAGCAAGTAATTGGGGCCTGCGGGATACCAAGTGCTCACACTCAAAGTCCTGAAGATGAGGAGGAGGATGAATGGCACGAGGAGGTAAGACTCGACGTGGAGGAGAAGCAGGGACACTAGAACTATCAGAAGACAGAGAAGGATCTGTATGAATGACTGGAGAGGGAGGAGTTTCAGGTGGTGCATCATCTGTTGAATCGGAACCATGGGGAAAAGAAGCAACAGATGATGATGGAGGAAGAGAAGGATCTGTGTGAATGACTGGAGAGGGAGGAGTTTCAGGTGGTGCATCATCTGTTGAATCGGAACCATGGGGAAAAGAAGCAACAGATGATGATGGAGGATGATAAGAAGGATCATCATCATCAAACTAAACTGGGACTGGAATAGAAGGAGAAGCAACAGAAGAATATGGAGAAGGATGGTCACCTCCTGGAGCAAAAGGAAAAACAGACTCATGGAAATGGACATCACGTGATGTAAAAACCTGATGAGTGTCCAAATCATAAAGCTTATACCCTTTTATGCCTGGTGAAAAACCAAGATGTATGCATTTCCTTGCTCTAGGAGAGAACTTAGTTCGTGAACTAGGTAAGGTGGAAGCAAAAACTAGACAACCAAAAACTCTGAGAAAGGACAGATCAGGTGGTTTGCTATGTAAGAGTTCAAAAGGTGATTTGTTCTGCAGAATTTTGGAAGGAATACGATTGATCAAGAACACAGCATGAGTGACACAATCTGACCAAAACTCAATGGGAAGAGAAGCTTGAAATTTTAAAGCACGAGCAACTGATAATATATGTTGATGTTTACGCTCAACCTTTGAGTTTTGTTCTGGTGTTTCAACACATGAAACCTCATGTTTAATGCCTTTACTACTGAAAAATGTTGGCATATTGAATTCTTGTCCTTGGTCACTACGAACTCTTTTGATTTTGGTGGAATATTGTGTTTCAACAAGGTTACAAAAAATAAATCAAATGAGGTCTGGTGTCTGATTTTTGTTTCATTAAAAGCAACCAAGTCATGCGACTGAAATCATCCACAATGGTAAGGAAATACCTAAAACCATCATGAGAAGGACTGGAATTCGGACCCCAAATATCCATGTGTATAAGTTCAAATGGTTTGGTTGTGATGGAATTTCTGGATGGAAAGGGAAATCGTTTTTGCCGAGCAAAATGGCATACATCACAACTAGAAACTTGATCCATATCTATACTAGAGTTCAGTTTCCTTAAATGAGGAAGTCTGGAAAAAGAAACATGACCTAACCTATAGTGCCAGAGATCAAAAGGAGACGTTGTGCTTGAGGGAACA